TGCGTGCGGGGTTAATCTTCTCATAGGCACACGCTAGGTCTTTGTTTTCATTTAAGATTGCTTTAGAGTATTTAGACTGGATTACTTGATGATTATTGCCGAGTCTTTCTTGTGGAGCAGTAAAGTGTTGTTGAGGACTCTGTGCGATCATATATTGTCTTTGTTGGTATAGTTTCCAAGAGAGTTTGTTGTATACTGCTGCAATCTTCAGCACTTATATGACCTTATTGTGTTGCAAGTGCCGTAAATGCTTATTAAAACGAAATGAAAACCCAGAATCGATAGGATATAGGAATTTATGTGTCGCTATGTTCTATACCCGTCTCTTTGTGGCGCGAAATTCTAGAGGTTCTGACTGGAGTTGCCAAGTGTTGGTCAGTTTGTGATGTGAGCACTCATTGAGGAAGGAGACTGAGAAGAATCACAAAGGTGTCGGTTTACTGTGCAATTTTTCTGCTGTTAGACGCTGCATCATTTGGAAGAACGTAGGCCTCAAGAAGTTAACGTGGAGAAATAGTACATATATTGAAAAACCAAGCCGTGCTGTGAATTGAGGAGAAAACAGCCAAGTGTGCCGCGGGCCTCCCCGATTTTGCTAAGGATAGTCATCCCACTTACTTCCCTACATACCTACCAGCGGACCTATCTTCCCAACTTCATACAGAAATATTGAAAAGACTTGAAAGTGGGTTAAGACCAGACTGTGCTTGCGAACAGGACGGCTGTACAGTGTTGACGATTTCCCGATTTTCCTGAGGATAGTCCAGCTGCTTGCTTCTCTACGTACTTACCGAGGCACCTACCTGCCCACCTACCTACCTTCCTGCGTACCTGCACTCAACTGCCCACCTACCTACTTACCTGTGCACCTGCACACATTTGCCTACCTACCTACTTACCTGCGTACCTGGTTGTCGATCCACACACCTGCCCACCCACCTACATACCTACCTGTCCAGACAATGCGTCGTAGCTCGTACAACCTGGCCAAAGCCTCGGGCAAAGAAAGTGGGCGTGGTCAGAGCTCGGAGCAGAAGACGGGCACTTCAGATGAGTCCTTCCGGAGCGTAGGTGCCCGATACTGTGTTTGGAGTTTGTTGCTTGTTTTGGTTCCCTTCCCCCAAAGTGAGCTCGGCGTCTCTTTGTTTGGACTTGTCGGAATTGTTTTGTTTTTTTTAGGGGGGGGGGGGAGTTGTGTTTACCCGCTTTGAGTCCTTATCTGGGGGGTTATTTTTGTTGCTTTTTTGTTGTTGTTGGTGGGTTTTTTTAGCCGAAAGAGGTTTTTGGGGTGGGAAGGGGGGGAGGGAGGAGGGAATAGAGGTAGATTGTCCACTGACCCACAAACTAAGGGTAAGCCAACCTTATATTATGGTTCCTGGCTTAGCATTGACCCCGTGGGTGGTTGGTGGGTGCTTTGTTGTAGTTTGCGCTCCTTCTTTCCTATCAAACATAATTTAGTTGTCCTTATCTGTCCTTCATTTTTGTTTGTGTTTGGTACTCTCTTGTAACACCTCTAATCGTCGGCACTTTTATGACCTTATTGTGTTGCAAGTGCCATAAAACGTTAACCAAAGCAAATGAAACGTGTTCACTGAATCGTGGACACTCTTGAAGCAAGATTTCTCAGGAACCAGTAAGCATTCGATTTTAACCAATACTTGAGTAGTGCTTACGTGCACCCTGAATGTGGGTGGTTGGCGGGTGCTCTGGTGTGGTTTGCTCCTTCTTTACTATCAAACATCTACCGACCTGATCTCTCCTCGTTCTTTTTTATATTTATTACTCTCTTGTAACACCTCTAATATTCGGCACCTTTATGACCTTTTTGAAAAGCATCCTGGACGTTTTAAAAAGGTCTTCTTCTTTTGTTTCCCCTCAGTTGTTTCTGTCTGTCTTGCTTCTTCCCAGCACTGTAATATTACCGTTTCTGTGTCGATTTGCTTCCCTTTACTCAATTCATAACCTTTAAATCTTCTTCACTACCATGACTAATTTGTGTGTTGTAAATCTTTAATTAAAACACACCTTAACCTTGAAGATTGCTTGTTTATATATTGACAGAAGCGCAAAATGGAACTGTAGGTGCTTTGATAGTGCTACTGGTAGATCTTTCTTCTTTTGTTTCATCACTCTGTTATTTCTGTCTCTGTCTGCATTACTTTTTCCTAGCACTAAAATGACCATTATTGTGTTGATCATAGTTGATGTGATGTGCTTCTCTTTATTTACTCAAAGTCAAAACCTCTAATTTTCAACACTTATATATGACTTATTCGTGTTGCAAGTGCCCCAAATCTATTACTAAAACTAAAACATGTTTGATATTTGATGGATGCTCTGGTGTGGTTTGCTCTTTCTTTGCTATCAAACATCTATTGTCTTTATTTTTCCTCCTTTTTTTGTTTGTTACTCTTTTGCAACACCTCAATTCGGCTCTCATATGACCTTATTATTGTGTTGCAAGTACTGAAAAACTTTTACTAAAATTAAAATGGAAGGTCGTCTGATTGTTTTGACAAACTTTTCCTTTCTTCTGTGTGTGTCCTCAGCTCAGCACAATGGCCGCCCCACAGAAAATCCAGGTCGACAGCGCTAACAAGGCAGGGAAGTGCCCAGCCATCCTGTGTGACGCTGAAAACAGCAAAGCTGGCATCATTGTCTTACAGGTTAGTGGCTTTGTTTTCTTTTTATGTATTGTGTTTCCATTGATTGATACTTTCTTCTGTTGGCATGATATATTGTATATATAATATATATAAATGGCAGCACGCATGCACACTCACACCGGCTCACACACACACACACACACACAATAAATTTTTTGGGCATATGGAATTAAATCGGTATTGTATCATGAATTAAAACTTGATTTGAGCAACCTCTCGAAACCAGAAACTTGTCTAAACTGAAGTAAGCCCGTTGATCTTGCAGATTTCAGCCTAGTGGAATCCGCTGTAATTTGATGATTCCTTGTTATAAAGTCATAGTAGAGGTGTTGCTGGATGTTGAGAAATGTTGGACCATCGGATAAAATTTTAACTCTTATATCATTTCATTTCTTGGAGTGAGTGGGGGGTTGGAGGGCGCCTCTGGTAGGTCCTACTTTTTTTTATCTCCCTCTCACACAACCAAATAAACAATTCTTTACTCACACAAACAAACAAACATCTCCTTACTCACACAAACAAACAAACAAACATCTCTTTACTCACACAAACAAACGAACATCTCTTAACTTACACAAACAAACAAATATCTCTTAACTTACACAAACAAACATCTCTTTACTAACGTAACACAAACAAACAAATATCTCTTTGTTTTAGTAGAGTTTTTACGGCGCTCGCAACTGCACAAGGTCATATGAGCGCCCGAAGATTAGAGGTGTTACAAGAGAGTAACAAACATAAAAAAGAAGGAGGGGAGATAAGGACGATAAATGTTTGATAGGAGAAGAAGCAAACCACACCAGAGCACCCGCCAACCACCCACGAATATCTCTTTTCTAACACAAACATACAAACATCTCTTTACTAACACAAACTAACAAATATCTCTTTACTAACACAAACATACAAGCATCTCTTAACTCTCACAAACATCTCTTTACTAACACAAACAAACAAATATAATATCTCTTTACTAATACAAACATACGGACATCTCCATACTCACACAAACAAATGAATATAATATCTCTTTACAGACATAAACATACAAACATCTCCTTACTGACACAAACTAACAAACATATCTTTGCTCACTGACACAAACAAACATTTGCTTGCATCCGCAGGAGTGGTGGGGTTTGAACCAGCAGATCCAGGACTGCGGTAAAGAGGTGAGCTGTGGCTCCAAGATGGTCACCCTGGTGCCTGACCTGTACCGCGGCAAAGTGGCCGTCGACAACGAGACTGCCGGACACTACATGGGTGACCTTGACTGGAAAGGTGCCATCGACGACATCCAGGGTTGTGCCCAGTAAGCCACTTCATACAGTCGTCATTTTTTAAAGGAATTTTCAGAATTTTAGAGATTTTATGGAGTGTTCCTCGTTTTTTGTTTTTTGTGTGCTTTTTTTTTCTTTAAACAATGGGATATAAAGGGAATTCGTGACCCTTTTTTTTCATAATGCCTCTCTCTCTCTCTCTCTCTGACTCTCTCACCCTCTCTCTCTGACTCTCTCTCTCTCTCTCTCTCTGACTCTCTCTCTTCTCTCTCTTTATCTCTCTCTCTCCCCCTCTCTCTCTGTCTCTCTTTCAGTGTCTGTCCCACCCTCTGCCTTTCTTTGTCTCTCCCTCCCCCCCCCCCCCCCCTCTCTCGCTCTCTCTCTCTCTCCCTCATTGCATATAAAATATCAAAGAAATGCACAAGCACATTTGGTTTTTCTTACTCAAAGTCAAAGGCTTCTGCTGCATGTACTCCTCAGGTACTTGAAAGGAAAGGGCTGCGTGAAAGTGGGTGTGACCGGCTTCTGTATGGGTGGGGCCCTGTCTATGGCTGCAGCTGCACTGGTGCCGGAGATTGACGCAGCTGTGCCGTTCTATGGGATCCCATCGGCGGAGCTCTGTGACGTGACCACCATCAAGGTGCCGCTCCAGTGCCACTTTGGCGATAAGGATTCGGTAAGTGCAGCATTTACTACTTTAAAAGGCATGGGGAGGGGGGGTAATGGAATGGGAAGGGGTGGTTAGCAGGACCTAGTTTTACAGTGAAGTCTGCTTAAAACTGAACACAGTTATTTCAAAATCGGCGCTAAACAGAAAGAAAATAATATTGGTACCCAATTTTTTTTTTTTATTTGTCTTTGTAAAAAAAACTATTGATTAGCGGAAATGCTCGCTCCCTTTCTAAGCTGAAAAGAATTTCGAGGTTTGTGTTGTCTAACTCTTCCCTAGCTAACCTCAAGAAATGCAAATCATCTTTCACACTTTAAGGTATCAAAACAGGAGAAAGCCTCTACTCTTTTGTCTGATCTGTGAATGTTCAGCAGATTAAGAAAGCTGACAATTTTGGAAAGAAAGCATGGTGGGTGTAGCTGAAATAAAATTTCTCATGGTGATTACAAAGTTGTAGTTGTTTCTTTTTGTATTTTGATTTCTTCGTTATCTCCAATGTCACCCCGCCCGTGTTCACAGGTGGCCGGATTCTCCTCGCCGGCTGAGTGGAAACCTCTCAAGGCAAAGCTTGAGGCTGCTCTGAAATCCTTGGAGTTTTACAACTACGACTGCGACCACGCCTTCACAAATAAGACGGGGGCCAACTACAATCCTGATGCCGCAAAGTTGGCTTTCTCTAGAATGTTTCAGTTTTTTCAGAAGAATTTGTCATGAACAGTCGTTATGAATATTGTTTAGATTTCTACCAAGGACTATCCTGCAGTCTGATAATTTGTGTGAATGATTATGATAGGTAAAGCTAATTCGCTGGAAGTTGAGGGACTTTAAATGGAAAGCATGTGCATTGTACATATTAAAGCTTCCTTTGCAGCTCTGTAATATCATTAGTAGTAGGCTTTTGTGACCACTACCTGGACGATAATTAGTTCTTAGTTGGCCTACTTGGTAAAATTTACTAAATTTATAATAATGTACAACTTTTGGTTTAAGTTATTGTGGAATTCATGTCCATCTGAAAACTCCCAAAGAAATTGTCCTGATCCTGCCATCATACCTTTACTGTAAATGTCGTGAAAATATCCGTTTAGAAATTTGTTGTTATTGTATGTTGAAAGAGTATATTCTGCTTGACAATAGGAGAAAGAAAATGTACAAGTAACATTATTGCTGTGAATTATCTGCTCTTATTATTGTTATGCTTGTTCTTCCTGTATGGCCTTACGAATTTGAAGCGCCCGATGCTTTGTTGAGAAGTAATCAGTTTTTTGGGGTTTTTTTACCCATATTATTATAGCACCTGTGGAACAGAAACTGCCCCCAATCCTTCTGAAAATTAGTGTTGTGAACCAAGTTTGTGTTTTCTGGATGGTTTTGTCTCGTATTGAGACAATACAGTCTAACTTGCACATTTCGAGCTCCCATACTACGTAGTGGAACTCGCACAAAGCAAACAGGTTTTCGGCTCCCAGATTTTTTCCTATTCATGTATACACCTTGCACATGCTGTAGATAGTGCAAAGAAATTCATTTCTTTGCCTAATTTAAAGCACATGGAAAACGAAACTTGTAATAACAAAAAGATTTCTGCATCTCACCAATTTTGCTTTGCACGTGTTAGTGTGTTATGCAGTGGAATCCACTTATAACGAGTCCTGAAATAAGGAGAAGTCTGTTATAAAGACACTATGCTAAAACCCTGTTTTGTCCCCTTCTTTTTCTTTGTAAATAAAATACTGCTATAGCGCAATCAGACAAACATGCAAGTCGGTTATAGCATGTACTTGAAAATAAACCTCGCCAGTTGTTGGTGATCTTGCGAAACAAAGAATAGGAGAGCCCACTTGTGCCAACAATGAAGGCGGAGTGAATGAGTGGGGAGGATGTGGTACGGTATGCACAGACAAGCAAAACGCATCGCGTGATAGGCCAGCCAAGTCTAGATTATCTAGGCCAAGCATGCCTCTCACTTCTCAGATGCAGGGATGGAGAGGCCATAGTGCTGTGATGGATGGAGCGATGTATGACATGCGCAAGCAGATGGAATGCACAACCGGGTGTGGTGGGGTGGGGGACAACACAGCAGGCGAATTAGCCTAGAGAACTTTATTTCTGATCGCTGACGCCGAGCTGTCAACATCGCTAGCGCGAGAGAAAGAAAACTTATTCGATGTTTGATCAAGTAAGACCTAGAGATCATGTTGAACCAAATCATCATCGGGGAGATTACAAAACAAAACGAACAGAAAACCAGAATCATAGATTCGGCCTACTGTACTATTTCCCTTGAATTTATTACTGGATCCCTTTTAACGAGAATCCTGCTATAGCGGATCTTTTTCACCGGTCCCCTCCCTCTCGTTATAACAGGATTCCACTGTATTAGGATAAGTGAAAGTGGCCACCTGTTTCTGTTGAAAGCTTGGTCCAGACAGACACCCTGGTCCTGAAATGAATCCTGATTTGAATTCTTTTTTTAAATCTTTGAACTTTGATGGGTATTGTTGTTATTGCCTTTGAGTGGGGATGTAATGTACTGTAGCAGTTTTCCCTTTTTTCTGGTCAAGCTTTTTTCCAAAATAATTTCCCATACCAGGACAGCATTATATGGAAGATGAGGATTTGACCACTGAGGGATAGGCCTACTGTGATCACTCCTTGGACAGGTTCTAATTTGTATTCAAGATCTTTCCCAAAATGCATAAGTACAAATCTACTGCTTAGTGAGTGTTAGACTCTTCCATGCACCATTTTGAGAAGTGGCAAAAGATGGAGTCTTAAACTGAGCCGTTGAAATGTACATTTATTACGCACTGATTGTTAGTCGAGTGTCTTATGTCACGCTTTTAAGACACTGTTGCTATTGAGACTGGTTTGGGCTATGGTGCTGTTTAAGGTTGTTTTTTTTCTGTTATAGTATTATTGTTAGCTACCATACTGGTTATATAGTGGACTTTTAACTTTATCAAAGAGATTTGTTTACGTTTTTGCTCAACATTCATTTTTCTCTTACCTCCACGCCAGTTTTCTTACATTTAGAAATTTTCTTTGTCAGTTTGAAAGCACAACTGTAATAAAGCCTAGTATTAGTCAATGTTAATCCCTTAAAGCTTATTTTCTGTTTCTAAAGCTACAATGCTTTTAAGAAAAGAATTTACAAAAGACTATTTGGATTTGAGAATTTATATGATTCTGAGAACTCTATGCTAAATAAACATATGAATTCAAGGTAGCTTTTTTTCCTTTTTATTGGCTTTCTCACTGTTTGTTTGCTGAATGAATACATGTTACGACGTGTTGGGATCAAGTGCTCGTCAATTTTCGGGCATATATTATATGGAGTTATTGGTATAACCTTAAAGTTTGTTCATTTGTCTTGCTTTTGTTGGAAAAAACAATACCCATCTATCTTGAACAGAAGTCGAGGTATTTGCTATTGAAGGAGGTGCGGGGATTACCAGGTATCAGCATAAAATTAGCGCGAAAATGGCCTTTAAAATTTGGTGACTTTCAAAGCCTAAGTGTTCTTAAAAACTGCACATTTACAATTTTTATGCCTTCAATCAACCATTTTCAGTAAAATTCTACTCAGAAATGTTTTAAAATGGACAGAAAATTCGCCAAAAAAATGCCCAACAGCCAGAAAAATACTCAATTTTTTTACGAGCACCCGATTTCACCACGATGAATCTCGTGTCAGAACTGAATGTAGTAGTATCTAGCACATGCATTTGTTGCGGCATCGCGGCCGCGATTTTTGCATTTTTCCAACAAAAAACCACCGCCGGGAAGAAAAAATAATTTACAACAAAAACTGGGAATAGTATTCGTGAAAAAAAGAAACTAAACCTCTTTACTTTTATAGAAAGAAAGTTTATTTTCACTTCGTCTCTTTCTCACTTGTTAAAACTGCGTTGATTTGTAATTTTCATGTGAAGAACATAAGTAGGCTACATTACATACTATTTATATTGCTGTTTCTCTTTCATGTTTCCCTTTTTGTTGTGTTTTATTTTGTGGGTGTGTTGATTTTTTTTCCTTGTTATTGTTCGGGTGTGTTGTTTTTTCATTTTGTGTGTGTTTATTATATAGCGTAATGTTCCTCCTACCTTTTTTAAAAAATGTGTTATAGTTACGTTGCAGCATGTCTCCACCAAAAAGGAAAACTGACTCTGGCAGGCCCCTTGTGTGTGATTCCATGATCTACATGTTAGATCCTATACTTTTTCTTGAATTACACGCATCAGGGTTAAAACGGCCAGTCTATGGATGGGTTGACACACGCCCTTATTTGTTAATTTTTGTGACTGTTTATTTGCTGTTCTAATTTTTATTTCATTCTGTTGTGAAACCTCTATTTTTCTCGTTTTTACACTCTGTGTGTGGGTGGTTGGCGGGGGCTCTGGTGTGGTTTGCTTCTTCTTTCCATGAAACATCTATCGTCCTTATCTCCCCTTCTTCTTTTCTAAGTTTGTTACTCTCTTGTAACACTCTACTAATCTTCTGGCGCTCATATGACCTTGTGCAGTTGCGAGCGCCGTAAAACCTCTACTAATACTAAACACTCTGTGTGGCTGCAAATGATATTCTGGATGCTTAAAACAAAGCACACGGAATTCTGGTGTTTAGTTTTAGATGAAGTAATCTCTATCAGCATATTGCTACAGTGGAATCCTGTTATAACGAGAGGGAGGGGACCGGAACAAAATGTCCGCCATAGCAGGATTCTCGCTAAGGGATCCAGTAATAAATTCAAGGGAAACTGTAAAGTAGGCCTAATCTATGAGTTTGGTGTTCTGTTTATTTCCTTTTGC